AGTACCACTACCGCATCAAAACACATTATTTCGGACGAGTTCAATGGCTGGTGCGCGTTAAACGCGAGTGTACGCTTAACACGAATTAGATACATTTACAATTATTATTATAATTATGTGTGCACCTAACACTGTGTAATATGGGTTGAACTTACGAATTACAAACCGCCATATCCAATACCGCGTGGTATGTGCGATGCAACGTGACCGGACGAAACGGATTACGTTTTCGTATGACGTACGAAACTAAATAACAATAAATATGTACGGAACGAAAATCAACGGAATTACATTACATTAACACGGAACGTGAATTTCGTTTCGACAGTCAGACGGAGCTTAGAACGAGCACAATTGACAGTGCGGAACATGGGATCGCTTGCATATCGGGGAAGAAACTTTGACTATAACGGGTACAGCTGATACGACTGACGGTAATCGCCGTGTAACCATCAACATGAATCGTCATGCGTTGACGGCGGTTTAGCAAAATGTTTTTTGCGAGCGACAAAGCAGTGTTGTGAGGCCAGGGATGATTGCAGCAGGAGGAAATTGACGCTCATGGAGAAGAAGACGAGAAAATAATAACGCGGCAGGACGATTGTTGGTCCGCGACTCTGTTGCTATTGTAGTAATCCGTTATCGTTGTTAGGAAACCTTAATATTCTCTTAATATATTTAATTTTTTTAGTTATAAGCCTTTTTAATCGAATAGTATTTAAATTCGGATTTCGGCTTACGCGCAGATGACAATGTTAACGTACATGGATATCTGTTTCATGGTTAGTATCTAAACATATGCATTTCTAAATATTAAACACTTTCAAGACATTTCTTTAAGAACACGAAAAATACGACTTTTGTCAACAATCGTATTTTCTTTCACGGTTTCGACACGTCCAGAGACTACAAGTTCATATTTAGGGTATTACAGTCGTAGCATCTCTTGTAGTTTTATCCTTTTAAACCGAGCAGTTGACGCGTATGCTAGCGGTCGAGCCCCACTGTTTGTACATCACAGTAAATAATTTACAAAATTAAAAACTGCTATTTTATTTTCTTAAAGTTTGTCTTATATTTTCTTTAACGTCTTCTGGAAAAATATTTCACTTCTCGTCGTCAAACCATTTTGAGTTGAATTTTCGAAGCCGGCTCGCTACTGCACGAGCAATACCGTTGAATCACGCAGTACCACATACGAGGTATATAGTATGCCTCGCGGTCTAAAGACCAGTTGGCACGCAACGATTTATTGTACTCTTTTATCGAATACGACTAACTGTATCAAGTAAAACGGAGCATTTATACAGTAAATATCTTATCGAATCAAAATGAAATCCAAGATTGAATCGGAAGACTGATGGGCGCGGACTTATTTTACGCGAAGTTGAACGACAAGTTGTTACATGTAAATACAAGGTAGATGCATTGTACAACTGTTCGTCCTTTTTAGGTTTAACTTTCCCTTAGATTATATAGTTTTTTTTAATAATAATTATAATATATTATAGTATATTTTCTTATACTATTTAATAAACAATATAAAATTTGATTCACGTGGTATTTTTTGTTTCTTTGCGAACATGTCCGATTTATGGAAATTCTTTTGTTCATACATACCTAGGGACATTCTTGTAAAAAAATACAACAGTGCTTCTTTCATATCGTTAAAAGTCACTATAATAACTGAACACTACTGAAGAGTGAAGAGAAATACAGTTGAAACAGTTGAAATTGGGACGGAAACTTAAGTAAAAATTGGAACGTGTAGACACACTGATAAAATGTACACTTTATTGTCCGTTTTACATTTCCCATAAAACGTATAATAAGTCGTTTCGTGTAAACTGGCCTTAAAATCGGTCCCACATAACTTGTGTACTCGACAAATAATCGTCAACAGTGGTGTAAGTAGTAATAGTATGAGTCGAATATGGCGATCGTTTTCACTCGTCATATCCCATCCGTTTTCGGTAAACGTGACCGCACGAGCAGGGTGTGCCTAATTCTACGTGTTTTAACGAAATCTTAACGAATTTAAAAAAAAATTATTGCTTTATATTTTCACACAATTTAAGTTTAACATCGTGAACGTTTTCCCCAGGGTTATTTATATAATCGATCTATCTATTGCTGTAGATGTACTCTTAATTATTACCAAAATTGTTGTCTTACGAGATAAATAAATTCGAAACACGTGGTGGTAAAAATATTGAACCCTCCTCGGAAAGAGAAGATTCTAGGCGCGTTCCTGGACGCGAGTCAAACGAATTGTAAACGATCGCGTAATCGATCGTAATAATAATTATCGATCGGCAGGCGGTCGTCAAGTGAAGAATACTCGGCGAACATAACTCGCGCGCACCGAGTACTCATGTCGAGCTTTGCAGGCCGGGACGGGCACTGCACTACCGCTGCGAACGGTCACCGCCATCGGTCCTTCTCCTGCTCGCGCACGTAACGGCGGAGATAACCTCGCGTCGCTGACCAATCGACGCGCTTCGCGACATTCCGTTCCATACCCGTATGGAGTGCGTGCGCGCGAGAGCGTTTTATTTTTTCTATCGCTCCCATTACTGCTGCTGCTCCTATCTATTTTTTTTGTGTACACTTGTAATCATATTATCGACGGATTGATTTCAACGTGTAATGAATCAGAAAACTATGGATGTTGCGGTCGTCAGTGTCGATTTCGAGACATTGGCATGTACCGTCCGTCTTCGCCGTGTCTCGTTTCTCTATACGTACGTGCGCGTCGTGAGTATGCGTAGTGTGTGTGTGTGTGTGTGTGTGTGTATGATAAAACTATACTAACACACACACGCACATAATCACGTGCGGTCGTGGTGGTAGTACGGGGGACTAAAAAAAAAAAAGAGAAAAAAAATATTAAAAGTCACAGTTCAGGCTATCGAATTCCGCGGTTTCACCGGTGTACACCGGTACGGTTTTCTTTTTTTTCACATCGCAGTTTTTACACACGCACACCACTATACTCGTATAATATGATAAATATATTATAATACGCTTTACGTATTATAACGTACGCGGTGTGTAACACGACTAGACACACTATACGGCTGCGAACTAAAATATTGTTTACCGATTCGAACGGACGGGGGCGATAAACGGTATTGGGTCACTATAAAAATAATAATAAGAGGAAATTATGCTCAAGTATAGACATGATGAACAGCAATCTATAGAATATTATTGTGTACGCGCGCGCGTCGCATGTACAATTATACGGACGGATGGACGGACGACCGCTGCACGTTCGGGCAAACGAGTTCAACGATTTTTAAGAAAAATTTTCTACGAGTCTACAACGCGTCGCGACGTATAGATATTATACACCGAGTTGTAATCGACAACGAATCGTCATCACGAATAGATAATGATAGCAATGATGATCGAATTTATGTTTGGTCGTGCCTGATTGAGCCTGATGAAAACCGGTCGTTTTCGCATTTCATTCTCCTTTTTAATTTCTCAAATCGGACTCACTCAATAAACACATACATCAGTGGCATGTACAACCCTTTCTCCGTGATTGAGAGATTCTTCATACGTTCATTTTCTTAAGCCACCGCATTAATCGTGTACGTTTTACCGGGCTGCCAGTTTGGTTAGGAACACTTAATAGTTACTAAGAAATACCATCCAGATCCATCCAACCGATTTTCGAGTAAGACCACTACATGGTTATATGCATACGCATCTTTCGACCGCATGACGGATTGAATGTGTTCGTACGACAACCGCGACGTACCGAAAAATGTTGACATTTACTTTGTTCCCCGAGCAGGATATCCCCAGGACGTCGGACGTGTCCGTCGATGTATGCAACGCGTTGCGGTGAGAGATTTGGGTTTTCGAAAGTAATTCTCCATGGTGGTGTGGTTAATCTTTATAGTACATGGCCCTTTCCGGGACCATAAGCTCCCCGTCGGATTGCCGTAGCTGAGATTTTTTTACGGCACGTATGGCAGATAGGAAACGTGAAAACCACGCGTGTTTGTTATACACATATGCACTTACACAGTTTCTCACCGATATCGCTGAAAACCAGAGTAAACACAAGATGAGTATTTTACGGACCGTTGCGGTTGAATATTTTCCACGGCGCATGTTCAACATTCTGAAATCCAACACCTAAAATAAATATTATACTTTAAGTTCTCCTAATTAATTTAATACTTATTTATTAACGTAATAAAATACGTACACCGCACCAATAATACGACGCACGCATGCACTGCATATTAAATAGGATTTAGTGTATTTTCTTATAAAGAAATACACCGGTACTGCATAAGAGTCCATGGGAAATGTAAACACACATTTGTGCGATTTCTGTAGATAATAGATACGATTAGTTTACGGCAGTGATTCCCAACCTAGGGGGCGCGCCCCCCTTGGGGGCCGTATACACATCGCTGAGCAGTCATTACAAAGTAAAATTTTTATTTATCAAATTGTATTATATTTAAAATGAAGAGAAAAAATGAAAAATTAATAAAGACTGGTTATCGTTATAGATTATAGAATTTAGAATCGTTCAAGTCGATAAAGTAATCAATAAAGATTACAAGTGTTTAGCCATAGTGCACCATGCTACATCGTCCGTAAATTAATCAGTACGATAAGAGAAAGCCAGGGGAAAAAACTATTAGATTAGTTTAGACGCGATTTAGTTTTATTTTGCAGATGCTCAGTGCACATCAGTGTCGTAGTACGTAGTCGTCGCGAGTGCATGTATATCAAAGTAATGGCTCTTCCGAAAATAAGAACGTATACCGATGATTATGTCAAATTTGGTTTTATGTTTATTGAAAAAGATGGTATCCAAAAGCCTCAGTGTGTTATTTGTCACGTTGTATTAAGTAACGATGTTCTCCGACCTAGTTGATTATAACGACATTTAACCACAGCTCATCCGATGCTAAAAGGAAAACCTAAAGAGTTTTTTTGTTGCTAAAAAAAATTCTTTAAGTAAAATGAAAATTGACCATACCGGAGGGTTTCAACAGAATAATGAAAAAAATGTTGAAGCTTCATATCACATCGCCTTCATGGTGGCTCAGCAAAAGAAACCCCATACCTTGGATGAAACATTAATTAAACCTAGTATACTTAAAGCTGTTGAAATAGTATTTGGTGAAGAAAGCAAAAGTAAAATAGCTCAAATATCTCTTTCAAATAATACAGTGAAACGACGTATAGATGAATTAGCTTTGGGCATTAAAAATCAGTTGATTCATAAATTAAAACATTCCGTATTCTTTGCAATCCAATGTGATGAATCAACTGATGTGGCCAATTGTTGCCAGCTATTAGTTTACTGTCGTTTTATAAATGAACAGTCCATCGCAGAAGAACTTCTATTTTCCAATGCTTTAAATTCCACCTCAAAAGGCAGCGACGTTTTGTCTGCCATTGACATATTTTTTGATCAGAATGGTTTGTGTTGGAAAAATGTTGTAGGTGTCTATACAGATGGTGCTCCTGCAATGCTAGGGTCAAGATCAGGTTTTGTAAGCCTAGCAAAAATAAAAACCCGTCAATAATTGGTTCTCATTGTGTAATACACCGACAAGCTTTAGCTGCAAAAACGTTGCCATCTGAACTTAAAAATATACTTGAAGTATGTATAAAAGTTGTTAACACCATCAAAAGCAGTGCACTTAACTCGCGTCTTTTTAAGATTCTTTGTTCAGAGCTGTCCGCGGAACATTCTGTTTTATTATTCCATACAGAGGTTCGTTGGTTATCCAAAGGGAATATGTTTGAACGTTTGTAGAATTAAAATCTGAAGTGGAAATTATGCTTTTACAATTAGAAAAAGACAATCTTCGTGAGAATTTTACCGATGAAAACTTCACATTCTACTTTGCGTACCTAGTAGATATTTTTGAAACTATTAATAACCTAAATCTCAAATTACAAGGGAGGAATACGAGTATTATAACCGCCAAAGATTCTATAAACTCATTTCTAGAAAACATATAGCTGTGGAAACGCTGATTAAACAAAGAGACTCCGAATTTTTCGTCTTTCCGTCGATTGAACGAACTTATCTCTGATGAGAAAGAATCTATTTGTCTTGTTGGATTGAAAAGTATAGTAATTGAACATCTTGACTGTTTGACTGATGAATTCATGCGATATTTTTCAGATTTTGTTGGAAATATACGCTAACAAGTTGTTCATTCAGTGCTAACGTAGACACATTGCCGGATACATTTCAAGAACAGGCAGTCGAGCTGAAGAATGATTCACGCGCAAAAATTGATTTTAACAGTGGCAGCTCTTTGGAAGATTTTTGGGTAAAATACCAACCCATTTACCCAGAAATTTCAAATGAAGCCTTACAAGTCCTTGTACAAATTTTCATCAACCTATTTATGTGAATCTGGATTCTCCAGCTTAGCCATTATAAAAACCAAACATAGAAATCGCTTGGATGTTGAATCTGACTTGAGGTGTTCTTTATCAAACATCGAGCCGAACTTTAAAAAATTGTCCGAAGAAAAGTGTTGTCAGCCTTCACATTAAATGTTAATTTTATTATACATTCTATTATTTATATTTTTTACTAATTTATTATAATAATTACGTCAATTTATAATTCCACTATAATACTATATTATTTAAAATTATTTATATTTTATAATTACTAACGTCAATAAAAAAGTAGTCTTTCCGAATATTATATAGTTTATTTATAAAATGTAAAGTAAACAAAAAAATTATAATTTTTTCAATTTATAAGTGGGAGGCACGCGAGATTTTTGAAAATCTACAAAGTGGGCATAGAATAAATAGGGTTGGGAACCACTGGTGTACGGTAATAATAATGAGTAAACCAGTTATTGATATATTTTTTATTTTTTTTTAATTACACTACCAACTATAGTTATAGTATATTTATGTTGTATATAGTTATTGTACGATTATATATATATATACTCAAATAATGAAAAACCGATAAATAGGTATATGCACAGAACGAAAAAAACACATGATATATAGTCAATACATCAACGGTAACCATTGAACTATGTTTGTATTGATTACCTACATAATATATGTTTTGAATATTATGTTAATTTTATTATAAGCACTTGGTGTTCTGAATAATACTCTAACCAGTTAATTATCATAATTAAAATATATTTTGCTTGTACACTGTGCGGTGTTACTACCGGAGTTACCCACCGGTTATTTGATTTATGGAAAAAAAATGAAGTGTTAAAATCTTTAAATATGATAGTCTCCATTATTTTAAATACAAAGTTTCTTCTTACTTATATAATAAGAAAAAATTATGAGTACTTACCAAAACTTTTCTGGTTTTTGGCCTTATTAAAGACTACATTCGTTTTAGACAAGCACTATACCTAGTTTTCCTTTCATTGGAACATATAATTGAATATCTATTTAGTAACTATACACCTACAGTTCTCCAACAACAATAATAAATACAATAAAAACCATAATTCTACAATTTGACAAAAGCAATTACCTAGCGTATAATTATATTAAAAATGAATGGATAGGTTGATAATGGATAATCGTACAGCCAGCGTGAGGAATGAAGGAAAATTATTCTACGAGTAATTCTACAAATGTCAAAACAAATCTAAAACTATGTATTCTAATTATGATTTAATCGAAATTTAGCCTTAAATATTTGTTCTCAAATACCTGTCCAATCTACATTTATTCTAACCAGTTGAGGTTCAAAATAAATATTAAAAATATTATTCACTAAAGCTTCACAGTTTTTATGTTTCTTAAATTATATATTTTCTACCGTATTGTTTATATATTAGAGTTCTGTACGGTTTGGTCTAGACTGGTTCGGTATTTTTCGATCTTTTTGTTTTTCAATTTCATGTGGTCCGGTCCTTTTGTCTATAAAAAAAAAAAAAAAAATTAGTTCAGTCTGTTCCCGCCTTCAGTTCAATAAGATAATTATGGTCTTAATTTTGAACAAAAATGTTATCTGATTTTACGTATATACATTACACAGTAAAATAATACCCAACATAATAATATGTTATTTTAACTTAGATTAGGGACACTAAAATAGCTCGCCGCGTATCTGCATGGTTTTATTAGTGACATAATATTTATTTATTATTATAGAATATAGATCCAGAAATATAATTTGAATTAATTATTATGAATTGTCTTATTTGACATCTGTATTATCAATTTTGACAATTTAAAAATTATATGTTTTATATGTTTTATACTTGAAAATTTTACGTCTTGATATCGTGAATGAAAATTTAAGATCATTAACACAATCCCCACTTGGCAAGTAATTTTTTTAAGATTAGAAATTCTCCATATACATAAAAAAAAATAAAAATAAACATTCACATTATGTATTATCGTATTGCCATAGGTACGAAATCGAAATCGAAGAATGGAAAAAAAAATACATTCCTATACGTGTGTTATGTATTTATTATGCACATGTCAATTCGCGGTACCGTGTGCATCACAAATATTGAGTTGAAATTCGAAGAAAATTCGTGCCTGTAGTGGATTACCTTCTGCCCACAGGACGAGACAGTAATGCAACCAGGATTTATTCAAAGGGGGTCCAAGAAAAAAAAATATTTATTTACTGTTTTTCTGTTTTTTTTCTTAGTATTTTGTAGTATTAGGCAATTTAGATTCTTGTCAAATGAAATACTAAACAAACTAAAATAAACGTATATTCATGTCGTAATAGAAAATAGAGAAAATAGGTTATCATGACATTTTAAAGTATAAAAAGATAAATGTAAAAGAACATTTTTTATACTATGTTCATTTGAAAAACGCTAATTTTAGCGTGCAAGCAATATGTGTAATTAGGTTAAGCTAGATGTATATAAGAGAGAAGACAAAAACTAATAAAGGAGTCTTCTGTGGTAGTCATGTGACTCGACCACGATAGGAGACTTACAATTTTCTTAAGTGTTACCTTGTTTCTACTTGTGTGTTTGTGTCTATACGTATGATTCAATCGGCGTATACGACAATATACATTATAAATAAATTTTATTGCTTGATAAATACAATTATATTATTTAATATACGAATACATATTATTTAAATTTTTAAATTTATATTCACAATTTTGGTATTTAAATTAATTATTATAATTATAATAATTTATGAATACATTTATAAAATATAAAATACGAATACTATTATGATGTAGTAGATTATTGACAATCGGTGATTTTATCTATTTATCAGATTCGTCGTGTTATCAACAATATACCAAATCTAATTATTTTAATCAATAAGTTTTGATGAAAACTTTTGGGTAATTTTAAAAATGTTATCAGTGTTTTGCTAGTAGGTTTTTTTTCCAATATTTTAATTTTTAAGGGAGTTATGATTATTCTTAATTGTAATATTTTACATATTAATTTTACATACTGGCGTCCTCTTAGGCTAGCGCGGATCCGAATATAATTTTTTGAGCGAGCCCGTTAAAATAATCTCAAAGATTAATACAGATAACACAGGTGCTGGTATTTAATTTGAATGCAGAATAATTTGTCTTTTAGTTGTTAATGAAGTGAAGATAAACAATGTTATCCTTCTGTCGATTCATACAGAGCCAATTTTTCCATAGTTCCGTCTGAATTTTTTATTAACTCTTCACTTTTTTCTCTTTCGAATGATGGCAAAGCTGTAATAAGCATTTTCCGGAAATAGTAGACTTATTGTAAGTTTTAACTCTCTTCGTTGTAGAAAATAGTTTCAGTTTGTTACACTTGAAATCAGAATAAACATAATTTGTCCGCACATTTTTTGGATTTCTAAGAATGACATTCCATGATTTTAATAAATATTTTCATAGGATTTGATCTTTAAGTGAACAACATATGCCTAAATCGCATTTTGCAAATGTACCAAAGTCTAAAAACGTTTTGGAATTTGGATCACAGATTTTCAATGCTTCAATTATGTGATTATATTGTCTGAATATTTGACTCATTTCAATGACAATATTTCAGATTATTTATTAGATATATTGACATAAATATGTCAATCGCGTGGGAAAATTATGTTATTATTACATGTGCGTACCATACCGCTGTGATTTGTTTTACTTACCGCGCACGATTGTTAAAAATAATATATTATTTTGAAAATAAATGTAGGAACTTATAATAAACATTTTGAAAAATTAACTTGAGTGAAAATACTAGAAATCAAAATCATTGTTATTGACAGTTTTAGATGAGCCTGGGATTAAATACGTGTTAATCAATGATGATTTATGTTTAATTAAACTAATCATTTTCATTTTGAAATATGTTTTAAATATCGTCTGTGAAACCTTTCGAATTCTACAATGGGTCAACTGAAATTCTACCACATTCTTTAAAATGTTGAGAAAAAAAATAAAAATCTCATTGTGTTTATGTAAAGTATTATTATATTAAATAGTTCTATTAAAGTACTCGATTATATTATGGTGAAGAGTTACAAATGTGAAATTTAAGTTTGTTTCGTTCGCTTGCGTGGTTAAGAAGTTTAGTAGAAAAAA